ATAATAATAATAATATAACATACTCTAATAATAATAACATTACAAATTAAATTAATCCTTAATTTAATTTAATCTTTTACTTGCTTCATACATTCTACGTAGGCATATAAAAAAAATATGTTCGATATCTAGTTCTAATGCATGCGATAAAAGTATTGGTTAGGGCTAATAGATACGAGTTTGAAAGGTCGTCAGTTTTAATTAATGCTAATAAACATCTTAAAATACTGCAACTTATTGCGACAAATATCAATTGAATTGTTCAATTAAACGCTACGTTTGCACATAATTGCAGAGGGAAAAAAAAGAACTAGGTCTCGATAACGTCGTCTTTCAAATAGATGAGTCCCATGTTGGAAACAGCGAGACAAGGTGTTACTTTGAAAACTCAACGGCCGTTTTAAATGAGCAAGTCATTGATTCAAGTAAAGAGCACGCAACATGGAACAACAGTGTGGAATTCCTTATGTCATGTATCGCTGTGTCGGTCGGTTTCGGTAATATTTGGCGATTTCCGTTTACGGCTTATGAAAATGGCGGCGGCGCCTTTCTCATTCCGTACGTAGTCCTGCTCTTTCTGGTAGGTAAACCATTTTACTTTTTGGAGATGATCATCGGACAGTTTTCCGGCAGTTCATCTGTCAAAGTCTGGAACATGTCACCAAGTTTCGTCGGTAATAATATTTCGACCTGATAATTTTCTCACGAGACGAACTGAAAAATATATAGGCAAATAGTTTTATTTTCAGAAGAAACGTTTGGCAAGTAATATATAGAGATGCACGATTTTGCAAGCACCACGATTTTTTTTAAATAGTAGTGTGATGTGTAACTAGCTTTGTAATCGCAAAATTGCGTGTAATTTAAAATCGCGTCTGCGATTTAATATTTTACATTTATTCTTTTTTTAATTCTTTTAATTCATGCAAACAATTTGATTACCGCGCCATAAAAACTAGTATAATATTTTATTTTATAAAAAATTCTTCTGTAAACTAGTTTATACAGAAGAAATCTTATTCCGAATTTTATTAAGGATTTTCAATGCTATTACATTAAAGAACAAATGCTATTGTATTTGCTGCTAACAATTAATATTTTTTATTTACAGCTATCACTGCTCTGAATCAAAGATTTTTAATGTGACTAAAATAGAAAATTGAATAAATGTATAATATACACACATAAAAATTGTGGTGCTTATTATCATGTTTATTGCAATATTTAAAAAAGATTGTGATGCAAATTTTGAAAATTGCACATCCCTAGAAAATGTATTACTAATAAAATGCGTAAATTACGGGTGATGTAAAAATTAACGCGACACAAAATGTGTAAAGATAAATTATACAGAGTGTTCAGCAAGTGAAAGAAAATTTAAAGAGTTGTTCTAGATGATAAAATAAAATGACGGAAATCAAGAATACTAAAATTGCGCTGAATGAATTAACAATAATAAAAAAATACGAGCCAAAATTAAAATTTTCAAAACTAGAATTTACAAGCTAAAAATTCTGGATATTTCGCTTGAAATTTCGGATGCATATAAAAATACATGTAGGTTAGTAAAATTTTATATAATCAGAATAATAAACGAATAATTATTTCACATCTAATTGTTCATTATTAATTTAATGTAAGAAATTGATCAATCATATATAGTTTATTATTCTCCTCACATTCAACTATAATCGATCAGTTTCTTACAACTTAAGAATTACTGTAGTTATTGTAAATCAGAATTAATACAGACTAACGCGGGAGAAAAGTCAAAATAAGAAATTTGACTTTTGATTCCCTCGGACGCTTATAAATACCTCGGACGTTTTTAGAAAATTCCCCCAGACTGCATCTTCGATGAGACGTTCTAAAAAAGAGAACGGTGTCTGGAAAAAAAGGACGGATGGCACTTCTACATGCATTAACACTTTTACGCGCGTGAATATTTAAATATTCAGAATTACAAAATCAAGAAAAAAACAATTTTAATGATTTCGTCTTTTAATTATAAATGAATAATCATGTGCTTTAGACTTTTTCCAATAAACATTATGACTGATATGAATAGAGAGAGAGAGTACAAAATCTAAAAGATGACTAAATTGTTATAAAAATATCTTTTAGAAAGACATCCTTAAAATGAGTGATTTTGTACTAATGTCCCTGATATCGAAGAATTTAATAAAATAAAAATATATAATAAAAAGAATAGTGTCGATATGGGAGTAATTTGTATCAATAATTCGTCGCTTGATATTCCCACATATCGATACAAGCCTGAATCGGTTTTCAAAACACTCTTTGATGAAATAGCTGAAATAACTAAAATCCATCAAATTAACAGAAGTTTCAACGATTTTAACTATTTCAGCGATTTATTTCCATCAAGGGCATAGTAAAAAAAGTATATTATATTGTGTGATATCCACTTCTTCAGAAGGTGCAGAGCATTTTACGGTAACATGTATAAGATCGTTATGTCCTCTCCCAGGTTTCTCTCTGTTATAAGTTATAAGATTAATGACTGCAGCACAGATTCTTGCATAATGGGCCTTCAATTAATTTAATTCTTCTATGGGCTAATAAGCTGTTAATCATAAATTAGAAGTCAGAAGCCAAAAATTGATGACTGTGATTGATCAATGATTGATCACGCTTCTGCGTGTAAGATTATAAATCAGCTTTCTGCTAAAGCCCTAAAGGAACAATAGTGTCGCTGTACTTAGCGCCGCTTTATGCCGACTGCAAATCACGGCGCGATGTTTGTCGCGTGCTACACGTGATATCTAATGAGCGTACAGTTTTATCGATGTTCTCATTCTAAAGTTACTCATTTGGATATCGCATATCGCATGCGACAAATATCGCGCTGGTCCGTAGCCGGCATTAGCACCGAGACCGCCGAAACACTACCGTGGCTGCATTTCACTTAACGTTCACAACGCTCGGAATCTTTTTATTCTTGTCGTTTATCAAACAAGGACAAACGATGCTCGCGAACATTGTGAGTGTTAAGTGGAACGCAGCTCGTATCTTTTGATTATTACAACAATGGAAAGATTGTTGCTACTAATCCAGATAAGAATAAAAAGTGATACTTCTTTCATCTAAATATCATTATTTTTAAGGATGAATAAAGAAATCAATATTAAATATTACAGACACAAAACAATAAGAAATAGACATTAAACATAAAATGTTCAAAGATGTTGAAAGCTTTTAGGTGTACAACTTTGCTTCCGCCGTTTTTTTTCCGAAATTCGAGGCTTTATTGTAAAAAACTGGTTATATATTTATAATTCAAAGTATTGTCCATCCCTGGCCACTACTTTCTCCCATCTTTCGGGTAGCGTACGAATCCCGCGTCGAAAAAACTGGTCATCTTTTGAGGCTATCCACGAATCGATCCAATTTTTTACTTCTTCATAAGACCGGAAGTGCTGGTCAGCCAGGCCGTGTGCCATTGATCGAAACAAGTGATAGTCAGAGAGAGCAATGTCTGGAGAATACGGCGGATGGGGTAGGACTTCCCATTTCAACGTTTCCAAGTATGTCTTGACCACTTTCGCAACATGGGGTCGAGCATTGTCATGCTGCAAAATTACTTTATCATGTCTCTCGTTGTATTGCGGCCGTTTGTCTTTCAATGCTCGGCTCAAACGCATCAATTGCGTTCGATACCGATTGCCTGTGATTGCTTCAGTCGGTTTTAACAGTTCATAATACACTACGCCGAGCTGGTCCCACCAAATACAGAGCATGATCTTGGACGTCAAAATCACCGTTCTTGAAGCGTTGAAACCACTCACGACACGTTCTTTCACTAATAGCGACCTCACCATAAGTATTTGAGAGCATTCGATGAGCCTCAGCCGTAGATTTCTTCATATTGAAGCAAAAAATTAAAACCTCCCGCAAATGACGAGAATTTGGCTCGTAAACTGACATTTTCAATCGAGAATAATTATGATGCAGACACAAATCGACTAATATTTCTATGGAGTTATGTTGACAGATGTTCAAGTTTATTTTATGACGTCTATGATCTATTTATTTCGACCACCACTTACCGCTAAAGCCATCTATAGGAAAACGGCGGAAGCAAAGTTGTACACCTAATAATGTTGCACCTCTTATTCTATTTTATATGGTTTTCTATTTTCAAACACGAGAAACTGTACCGGATTCATCTAGTGGCGATTTCGCGTACTATTCGCGGATAAGTAATGAAAAATATCAAAGTAACAAAAAGAAATCTTCTTTATGTTGTCTTTTCGATAATAAGAAAAGGTATCTTTAAGAAAACAATGTGCCGCTGGCACATTAAATGTCTTTAAAGATATCTTTTCATTTTACTAAAAAATGATATCTTTTTGTCATCTTTTTATTTTGTTTAGTTTGTATTTGAAAAGACAACTTAAAAAAACATCTTTTCCGTTATTTTTTTAGTACTTTGTACTGTCTGGGGAGTCGATTCTTATATTTAAGATTATCTTAAATATAAGATGTTATGAATCCAGAGAGTCATATTAATATTTTAAAATATTACATAAGACGGTGTTGAAATAAGAATAGACATGAATATTGGCTAAGTCATTTTTAATATACCATAAAATTCTTTGAGACGTCTGAAAAAAGTTAATTGAAAGACATGTTTAAGATATTTTTAAGATATTTCTCCGAGAAATTGAGTTTCTACAGATTCTTTTGAAATTGGGTATTATGTTTAAAATAATTTTATCTAAATATGGTTAAAATTTCAAAAATCCTAGCGATACCGAAATGAAGATATTCATTTTCGAAAAGTTTCGGCTTTTAACACGTAAACTTCTATATCAAGTCTTGTCGAAGCAATGTTTTACTACTTTACGACGAAAATCTGAATTAGAATAATTTAAATTTGTAATTTGAATAATTTAAATTTAGAATTTTCCTTCTCTCTGTTGGACGTCGAACGGCAAGAATATATATATGCTGTTACTACATTTCAACTGTCTTCAGTGTGAACTAGTGTTCGTGTATACAGATACGACATTTATGTGACATTTATGTGTATGTATTCTTGCTTCAAAAGCTTTCTTTCTTCCGAGAAAAAAATTTGTTCAATTAACTAAACACATTTAGTTGTATGCAGATTTGGTTACTTCAACAAATTTTATTTAATTAAATTTAATCGTAGTTTGTTTAACATTGAAAAATTTGTTAAGCAGACTACGGTCGAATTCGAATTTTAAATAAAATTTGTTGAATTAAACAAATCTGCAAATAACTAAGTATTTAGTTGAATTTTTTTTTTAGTGCACTCAACAATATAACTGTAATATAACTGCATGTGCGTTATATATTAATTACATTGTTGAGTGGGAATTAAATTACCAATTGATACATGTAATTTTGTGTTTGCTGAATAGTCATACATTTAAAATTTTTTTAGACAATAATTTTAGATAATATAAAATTTTATGTTATATCAACTTTGTTCCAATATATATTGCTACTACTTTGGCAAATTATTAATAATTAAATAATATTAAAATATTAATTAAATTATAAATTCAATTCCAAAACAATCTTTTATGACAAAAAATTTTTTAAAGAATTTTTCCGAAATTTGTTCGAAATTAAATTTCGGGAAAATTTGCACAAATGTGGATTTTTTGTCAAATTTTCCTGGAATTTATAATAAATAAAACAAATTTACAAGAAATTAATACTTGATTTTAACATATACTTTTTTAACAAAAAGACTATTCACATTTTTCGGAGAAATTTGGTACTTTATGCAGAAAATTATTTAATTTTAACTCGAAAAACTTCAAGTTCTCTTTTCCAGCAAATGCGATTTTTCGACTTTTTCTATATATGTTTAGTGTTTTGTTGCAAAAATTAATTCAATTTTTACGGAATGCAATTGTTCGAAATATCTCGATTTCTCTTTCTCGACAAATATGGTGTTCTGTGTCGAACAAAATGAATATTTCGCCAAAATTTATCAGATTTTAAGGAAGGCGAGTTTGCGAAAAATTTTAATTTCTTTTAAATTGAGAATAAAAATTTAAAGATATCTTTTAAACAAGTCTCAAAATATCTTTTTTAAGATGTTTTTTACATGTTTTAGACATGCATGTTTTTTAAATTTTTACCTGAATATTTAATTTTCGAAAATAATAAAGCCTTATTCGCAATTTTATTATATTCTTGATTTCCTTTTTTATTGTATCATTTAGAATCATTCGAGAGGGATCCGATTGCGTACATCGCTGATTGGTCAATTTAATATAAAATATTTTCATTAAAAAAAAAAACAATAAAAAATTACTAGTCCATGTGAGTAGATGTGTGCGGAATGTGGACCAACGGGATCCTCTTGAATTATTTTATTTTCTCGCATTTATTACTTGTATATGTATATATTTATTACTTGTATATGTATATAT